TGGGGACAATCTTGTAGTTATTTGCATTCAATTCCACCAAAGTAATAAGTGAAAAGGCTCATTGATCAAATTTTCAAATAATCATTTAAGTAATCCACTGAATCATTGTAGCAAGTAACAGTAAAATCCAAAAATGAAATTAAAATGTAAATAAATAATTAGTGACCTAACCAGAAATCTGTTCGCTAAAAACTTAAGAGAGCCAGATACAAATTAGAACAAAATAATACAATTACCATAGAGAACAATTACCAAAAAATAATAAAATTTGGATAAACTGACTTGAAAGTCTTTTTTTTTTTTTTTTTAAATTTGAGAAAATTATTAGTAAAAGAAAAAGAAATTGTGTGAGTTCAAATTAAAATCTAGTTTTAATTATCTATTCAATTTTAATAGGCGGTTGATGAATGTGGTTTGGCAACAGTTATTCATCACTTTAACTAATTTAACTGTTTTGTACTAACAATTATGATAATTGATAGATATTTGTGTATGATTTAATTAACTAATCGAGATGGATAATTGTCTATTTTGGTATTGAGTTATATTTAATACGAATATATATATTTAATTAGAATGTGTTTAGTTTTAATTGAGTTGGATAAAATTTAAACAATTTAGTTTTATTTATTTATTTTTTTGGTAAATGATTTGGAAGTTTGAAAAGATTGAAACTTAAACGAAACCACTTTGAAATGGTTGGTTCGGATCAATATCAAAATATTGACGGATTCACATGGACCCAAACCAATAGTTAAAAAAAAGCGATTTTGATTCGATTTTAAAATTTAACGATTTTATTGTTTAGCCTTAATTTTCATAGTTAAGTTAGTGTTTATTTGTCAAGATTTTTTAAAAATTAAAGCAAAAGTAGAAGCTATTGTTTTTTTAGAAGAGTTTCCGAATTTTGTTTGAGGTCCTGTTTGATATGATTTTTACTTTTGCTTTTGTTTTCTAATTTTTATTTTATTTTATTTTATGTATTTATTTAAAGGAAGTCATATTAGATCAATTTAATTTAAAAATACTTCTAACTAAAAAAAAATTATTTTTATAAAATTAACCAAATGAGTTCAGAAGTTAAAAAAATCATGTCAAATGGGCTTTAAAAATTTTTCTAGCCAGTCAAAAGACTTACAAGTAATAAAAACGAAGGTAAAACCTTGCCAAAAGTGTCGCTAGTCAAAGTCAATCACCGAAAAAGAAACGCAGTCGTATCGGGATTAACTACAGGACAATACAAACGACGCCGTTTATAGTTAGATTTTCCACCTTCACACACTGAAAAGCTTCTCTCGGCACCACAAGGGCAAAAGCACAAAGCCTATGAAATGAAAAGCCCATTTTCTCTTTAACAAGTACGATCCCCCTCCCTCTCAATATTATCTACTCCTATTGACGGCGTAATTTGCCGGAATAGCCCCCTCGATCTCACCGTCACAATCACGAAAAAGCCGATCACAGTCGTCGAAATAAAAGCAGAATTAATTTATTTACTCCTTGATTGATTATATATACGTATAGATAGAATTAATAATTGATGATGGAGGATTATATGAGTGGGAGTGAAGAAGATTATTGTTTCTTCGATCGAGAGGAGTCGCTCGACGGACTCGAGAACGATGACTCAGATTCTAAATTTGTCCAATACAAAGCTCCTTCCTGCAAGGTATATTGATATATACACATATTCTTACTTTCACTACACATGTACGATTTTTTACATTTTTTAAATATTTTTAGGGACGGTTGTGAAGCTAACTTATTTGTATTATTTCTGTGATAAAATATCAAATTATATCCTTAAGTTGGGAAGGGAGATTTTTTGGGTGAAACGACTTTGGTATCTGGTGCGATTTGACGAGTTTGCGGCAGTGAAGCTTAATATGCTGATTTTTTTGTTTTCTTATTTGACATGG